TGTATTTTGTTTCAAAATAAAATAAATGCAAATCACCATTTAAAAATTATATATATGTCAGTAATCTTATTAGAATCTTATGCATTGTTGCAGATTATTCACACCAGGGAAACTATTTGGTATTTACACATGTGTGACTTATTTATTTCACTTAGGAGTATATCTTCAATATGTATCCATTTTCCTATGAATGAATCTATTTGCTCGTTCTTTATGGCTGAGTAATATTCCATTTTATAGAAAAACCACTGACATTTAGAAATGGGAAGAAAGGAGCTAAAGGTGCAGGGAAGGTGTGATGGGTAGGGGAAGAACAAAAAGGGAAAAGAAAAAAATGTGAGAGAATGAAAAGATGAAAATAAAGTGTTTGTAGATGGGGAGGGGAGGAGGGGGTGAAGGGAGGGCAGAGGTAAGGGGAAAAAATGAGAATCAAGACTTGCCATGTAGAGGTACATGATCCCAACAATGAATGTAACTGTACTGTATCCCTAAAATGTACCAATAAACTCAATAAAATTAATAAATAAATAAAAAAAATTGTATATAAAAAGCAGAAGTGATTAGGACAAACTAGCTTTATCTGAGTAGATATAAAACCCCAAACCTCTTGGGGCCAGTTATATTCCTTTAGTCTCCTTCATCCATTAGGGTTTGGAAGTCCTTAGAGAGTGGGATGGCATGGACCAATTTGGCTTATTATGAGCTAACTCTGTACTGAGCCCCCAAGGTCACAGAGCAGTTAATAATCAGCCTCTAGTACTGAAGTGATTCCAGTCCAGTGTCCAGTTCCATTTCTGTGTCTGAGGATCTATTGTCTGTATTATGAGTCTCCTGTCTGTCTTTGTATGAATTTTTATCCCAAGGACAGAATCAGAGCCTTCACTGGGCATCAGAGATGAGAGGGTCTTTGGATCTGCTCTCCTTGGCAATGACTCAGCAGAGAAACAGCATCACCCAGTAAGTGCAATGGTACTCACTGATCCAAGAAAGACACTTAAAATTATTATTTCCCTATCAAGAGGAGAAGTGTGAAATTTTGGATGGTCAGATGTGATGGTACAAATATGAAAAACATTAGTTATAAGGAATAGAAATTTTATGATCTTGGTTGTAGTGGGGAAAGAATTATTATTTCAAATTTACTTCCTATACACCCTGTTTCTACTTCCATTGATGTCTCACTCATGACAGCAGAAAAACGTGCCCTTCTGCAGCGTCTCCTAAATGCTCTGAAATGATTATAAAGTCCATGATCAGGATACAGAGGAAGACAGTAACCATGACATCAGGAACTGCATTTGAGGGCTTCCTGTCTTCCAGGCACTGAGAAATTTCATTTGAAGTGTCTTGTTTTATTTCATGTTTTCTATTTTCCCAGAGTTACTTTTGCGTACATTGATATTGCTTGCAAAAAATGGAAGATCTGTCATTTCAGTGGAAACTGCATTAGGTTGTTACGTGGAAAAATGAGTCAGTGGACTTGGGTTGTCTGATCAGAGGCACAGGGTAATTCTGTTAGGTTGTCTCAGCCGTTAATTCTCTGTCACTTCCGGAGAGGACCTGTACCGTTGTGCCCTCACTGATGCAGTTATTTGAAAGCTCACAGAGCAGAGCAGTGGATGGCCACAGCTGCATCCACCAAAGACGGATGTGTATGACAGGCAAAGATCCGGAAGACGCTTCCTTAAGAATTCAGCACAGATTTCTCTCCTGACACCCCTGTAGGATATTTTTGAGCCTCCCATATACTTCTCCAAGCTTGCATGTATTTCCCACCAACTCAAATGTGGGAAACTTATGTCTTGATTTCATTTCTCTGGAAGAAATGAGAGAGTTGTAAATGTGCCTCTAAATGACCTATGATGATCAGCTCCGAACCTCTGCATAAATCTTTCAGTGAATTGAAAACAGTGAAAATTTCAGTGTATCAGATCGCATCTCTCAATTTATTGTTTAATCCTTTCACCTCTGAGCAGTGCTCTATTTAGGGTTAATGTGTATAAAATTAGAGCAAATTACAATTTAGGTAGCTTTACCATCCGTGATATGTATATTCTTGCACTTACCTCTTTTGTCCTGTAATTCTTCCTTTTGTATTTCTGTGGAAGGACATCTTATTTGTGTAATTCTATGCATATGTTTTTAGAGGAATGATGTGCTTTCCTTACAGCTGATTTCCTAGACCTATAGATTGGCCCAGAGGAGACGTAAAAATAAAAGCCCGCTTTTAACATTGAATTGACCCTTCCCTGAGTCACAATAGTTTTCCTTAATAATAATGGTGTGAAGGTGCTCAGTACCTTACTGTCTTAAACTCCATTCCTTTCACAAATGCACCATAGATGTAAAGACAAAACAAAATAGCTTTTGCTTTTTTTCTGTGTCATGGATACATGGACTCTATAATCCACTTAATTTTATCTCTATCAGTTATTTAAAAATAAAACACAACAGAGATAGTCATGTTTCTTTTAAAGTCATAGAGACAAAAAGCTGGTGATTTTATGCCTCAAGCTTAGGTAGATTAAAAAACTTCATATAATTTCAGGCTGCAACGCCATTGGAATGCACTTTACTATACTTCATAAACTTCTTATTGCTTAATGATGCACATCTTTATTCTAAATACAAAATCTCACTTATGGGAAGCAAGGAAAGCAGCCCTACCAAGAAAATTTATAGCTATGAACGCTCACACCAGGAAAACAGAGTGCACTTGAATAAACAACCTAATGCTGATACTCAAACTTCTCAGAAAAGGACAAATCAAGTCTAAGGCACATCCAAGGGAGGAAATTATAAAGATGACAGCAGAAATTAATGCAACGGAGACTAAGAAATCTCAGAATTGCTAACTAGTTAAGTTCTAAGTTTCTTTAGTTGTTGCACATGTGGATGAATTCTATTCTCTTTATTTTCCCAAGCATTATGAGCACAAAGAGGCAGAGAGACTCACACTCATTCTGCCCTTGGGAACAGGTTAGGGACACAGGACTAACACACTCATTTCTTCAGTACCATCCCTTGGCCCAGGCACCAAAACTGAATCTCAATCATGTTATTCCTCATGTGATGATGACATTTCTTGGTGCGCTATCATAAAGAGACCATTACTGAAAAGATGACAGGCAAAATTTGAAAGTTTATCTGAAGTATAAGAGCATATGGGTAAAAATGAGTCACCCATTTTATGAAAAAATTGAAATTTTATATGCATTACTTGATAGAAATCTGAAAATATCAATATATTATATATGTGGTATATTATATGACAATTTTTAACACGAGTAACAGGGAAAGAAGCCCAAGAATTTTGAAAATGTTAACATAATAATTAACTTACAAGATAAATGAAACTTCTCACGGTCTCCATCCCTTCCCCTCCTCTCTGAGAAGGCTGTGAATTGGTTGAAGAGACCTAGCACCATTACTTGTGGATGTCATCTTAATCTACTTGGTGGAGGGCAGATGTTGTGTAACACACCGTTTAGACGAGTTTTAGGTCCCTTTTATGTAAATTCATAAACCAGTATAGACCTGGAAACATTGGCAAGAAAATCTACCCATAAAATTTATGACAACAGATTCCTTTGAGGAAAGGAGAGCAAGACAAATCATAGAAAGGACTCAAATTTTGAGGTAATTGTTCAGATATCTAAAGAATATTAATGAGGATATAAATATTATTAAATATTTACATGTTAATAGCTAAACAGACAGTATGAATGGGAGATTTTCTAAATGCTAGCAAATATTTTCTGACAGTGGTTTTCAACTCTCATTTAAGAAAGTGATTCAAAAATTTGAAATGTACATATTCTGATTAATACATTAGGCTAAGCCTAGAGTATCTGGAGATATAACACTATCTCCAGAAATATTCCACTATCTCCAGATGTATTCTTAAATTATATTCAAGAGTGTTGCAAATTAAATGATTTTCAAATATTTTCTTACAGCATCAATATGAGGTATGTAATTCTGATTCCCATTTTACAGATGAAGAGGAGTACATTTTTTACATGTGTGTTTACAAGATTTCATGTAACTTTTTCCATTGTGGCTGAGTTTCAAGGTGTGCTTACAATATTTCATGTACTATTTTGGGATTATTCCTAATTAACTCACAGAATGGTCTCATGAAAATATGGGTCCTAGTTTCTCTCACACAGCTGAACTATGAAACTATGAAACAACTCATATTTCAGAAGTGATAGATGTGAAAACCCTAAATACTAACCCCCATTTATTAACAAACAGTGTACAAAAATCTACCTTTGTGGTAATTTTATTTGAAGATTATATGCATGTATCTCAGCCTGCGATATATAACTATGAATGTAATAAGACACTGTTACATGTTTCACATTGGTAATTTAGTCAGAAAGAAAATTTTTGCCCAACTTATATAGCAAGGCTGGGTAAACTCTTATATCCTTAAAAGATGAAATCAGAGAGAATAACAAGAAAAATTAAAAATTCATTATTTTTTAGCAAAATGGCTCAAAATGAAGTGTTCTGCAAAAGAGAATTAACTTTAATTTTCAGAAAATGCACGCCTAGATTTTATAGTATTTGTAGGCATTCTAATCAAGGAAATTTATAGCATTTTATGAGTATAAAATATGAAATATTTCAATCCTTTTTAATTTTCTTCCCATAAAAATCATATTTTCTTCAAAGGGGTGATTTAACTACCTTTCATCTTTTTGGAAAAGAATTTCCCGAATTTTGCTGTTATCAAGGACTTCTGAATTTATGTCCTTGGTCTGCTTACACTGTGCAGTAAAGCAATGTAAGAACATACAGAGGAGGTGGAAAACAAACCACCCAACAGTGACCATTTGATAATGGGGTTGATAATGACAGAGCAACGCTGGTGACGTTTGTGGCTTTCTGGTGGGAATACTTTGCTTATGAATACTTGAACTCAGAATATATGCTTAGTTTTGTGTGATTGTTTTTGTTTCAGCTCTGAAATGAAATTTATGTGAACATGCTCAGATAACATGGAAAGACATAACCTCACAAAGGTCTCAGAGTTCTACCTCATGCGATTCTCAGAGGATCCAGACCTGCAGCCCGTCCTCTTCGGACTGTTCCTGTCCATGTACCTGGTCACAGTGCTCGGGAACCTGCTCATCATCCTGGCTGTCAGCTCTGACTCCCACCTCCACACCCCCATGTACTTCTTCCTCTCCAACCTGTCCTTGGCTGACATCTGTTTCATCTCCACTACAGTCCCAAAGATGATCTTTGACATATTAACACACAGCAGGATCATCTCCTATGTGGGCTGCCTGACACAGATGTCTCTTTTTGTCCTTTTTGTATGTGTGGATGACATGCTCCTGACTGTGATGGCCTATGACCGCTTTGTGGCCATCTGCCACCCCCTGAATTATGCAGTCATTATGAACCCTTACCGCTGTATCTTGTTACTATTGCTGTCAGTCTTTGTTAGTGTTGTGAATTCCCAGATGCACAATTTAATTGCCTTACAAGTTACCTGTTTCAAAGATGTGGAAATTGCTAGTTTCTTTTGTGATCCTTCTCAACTCCTTCACCTTTCATGTTCAGATACCTTAATAAATAACATAGTCCCATATGTGTTTGGTACCCTCCTTGGTTTTTTTCCCATGTCAGGGATCATTTTCTCCTACTACAAAATTGTTTCTGCCACCCTGAAAATCCCATCATTTGAGGGGAGGTACAAAGCCTTTTCTACCTGTGGCTCTCACCTGTCAGTTGTTTGCTTATTTTATGGGACATCTACTGGAGTGTATCTTGGTTCAGCTGTGTCATATTCTCCCAGGAAGGGCATGGTGGCCTCACTGATGTACACTGTGGTCACCCCGATGCTGAATCCCTTCATCTACAGCCTGAGGAACAGGGACATCAGCAGCACCCTGAAGAGGCTCCACCTTTGGGAAATCTAATCAGTTTTCCATTTGTTTGGAATGTCATTTAGAAAATGTGGTAAAAAAAGAAAATGAAAAGCTTATCTGTAAATACATCCTTCTTCATTTTATTATTTCTGAAGTTTGTTGTCTTTAACTTTGTATGATGTCTTATAACAAAATCAAAAGAGTTCAAGGGGTAGTAGTATTTAGTGTTCTTCATATAGGTGCAAATTTCAGTGGGGAAAGTGAAAAATTTCTGGAGATGTGTAAGAGCGACAATTGCACAAAAATATTACAGTGTATGCAAAAAACTCTGCACCTAAAATTGTTTAAAATTGTATCTTGAGAAATGTATATCTTTCTACAGTGACAAACCGATGTAAAACCCCGAGGATTTTGTTTAAAAGGAAAAATGTTAAAAAAGATAAAAATGTTCTCAAGACTTCTTCTGTGTAAAGGAAGTGCTCCCAATATTTTGTGAAATACATTTTTAAACTTCCATTGAATTGTCAGATATTTGAAGATTAGAATTATATGTACAATATGGAGAATTATAAGCTGTGTGTTTTTAGATTTCAAGGTTATGTGACATAACAAGTAAATTTTTGTCATGCTTGTTTATTTGACATCTTGAAATAACCGTATCTCCCCTTGTATGTTTGCCTAAAACAGGAAGCTCATACCTGCCACCGTTCATAACACTTCTCTGGGCTGTCCTTGAACTTTTTCTGGTGCTCAGAGGTGAGGAGTGTGGTATGTATTTGGACATTCCATAGTAAACACACAGCCTGTGTCAGAAAGTAACAGACGGAGAATGGGGCTTTTTAAAACATTACTCCTTATCATGAAGACACACGCGAAAGTTTGGAAAGTGAGATCGGATGATAAAATTCTTCACATACTTACTTAAGAGGAATGTGAAATGTGCGTTACTTGATTATTATGGGGGACCCATAAACTCAGTCAGTGACTCCCTTTTCTTGCACACGTCTTCTCATAGATGTCTAACCCCTGATAGCATGCTATGGCTGTTAGTAAACTAGTTCCTCAGCATCTCGAAAGAATTATGGGAGAGGAGGAGAACAATGAAGAGGATGAAAATAACATAACATCATGAATCAAGAACGGAAGATTTTCTTGTTTTCTTTTTACTGAGTTCGGAAGATTTTCTTAAAGGCAGCATCAAAATCATGTATTCTATGTAATTTGTCTTATTTTATATGCATAATATTTCTGAGTAGAAGCTCCTGTACTATTATTCTTAAGGGAAATTGGGGCACTGGATTTTGTATAATTAACTACAAATTGTTGGGTAGAAAATAGTGAAGAAATATTTCCATGAGGCTGTCTGATAACACACACAGCCTATTTTACCAGGGAAATCATAGCACTTATTTCTTGACAATGAAAGCACCCATTTCTCTTTCCTGTTCCTCTAGAAAGGATCAATTTCTTACTGTACTCTACCCTGAGGAGCCCCAAGTAGATCACTGTGGAGAGAGGGGTGAAAATGGCTGAATCCACTTTAGAAAGGATATCTAACTTAATAAGTAAAGATGAAAGATTGAGAAAGTCTATAATGATTAGTTTTAATTTCATGCCTGCACCCCAATCTATGCTCTCCTTGAAGCTATCCACATCCTGCTTGTCTCTTATAAATCATCCTTCTCAATGTTTACAGGAGAAATCATTCCAGGCTAGGCTTATCTCCAACACTGAAAACTGAAGAGTTTAATTTTCCCACATATAACTATAGTATAGACATAACAACCTCAGGTGAAAACTTTACAGTGGTTAAGAAACAACATGATTTGTGCATCAGACACAGAGACTGACAATTTAATTTGGAATCTTGTCCCCATCCCTTACTAGTATGTAAAGTGTGGCGGGTTGTTTTCATATTTGACATCTGAGTTGATTTCTAGTTTGTACTACTGCATTAAACATGGATTAAACATATAATGATGCTCCTCCAATTATTAATATGTAGTGAATATAAAATATAAGGCTAAAATTCAAAGTAGATATCATCTGTAGAGCAAAGGATAAAAGGTTCAATTTCAACACATTCAAATAAAATATTCTAGTATCTCAAATTATTATTTCATTGTTTACATAACAGGGCATTTTGTATTTTCTTTCTGCAAATGCAAGCATGTATTTAGAGAAAATTCATCTCTGATTTCCCAGGTTTTATCTCTATCTGGACAGAAAATTGTAATTAAAAATGAAAGTCTTTGCTAAACTATAAGTAGACTCTTTGGGTGTACAATAAGGAATAGTTTTTCAGAGATCATAGCAAAGATTTTCATGGATATAAAAACTACATATAGAAAGAACAGGATATATAATATCATCAGTGGGGCTGAGATATATATTAGCTTTCCACATTATCACAGGCTCCAGTGCCCCTTGACAATAAGATTTCTAATTGTGTAGAGTGCTTTATGAGAAAAGAAAACCCACAGTAACTAAATACTCGAGTTCTAAACTTCCTTTAGGTATGATTATGTTGTGGAATTGGGTGATATTGTCCATATTTCCACCGAGCGTAATAGCGGGAAGAACTGCACACAGTTGACAGACATTGTCCCTTCACTAGCAGGTAAATACCATGTGTCTTACAGATTAATTTCCCAACTCTCATCCCACTTTACAGTCTTCTCTAATGCAAGGTGAAATGTCTTGGCAAGGAATGATGCAGTGATTAGTACTAGACATGACTCAGGGAAAATTTTGGAGCTATATCGTAAGAGTAAAATGATGTACATGATTGGACTGAGTTTTCTGTTTTGAAAAACATAAGTGATAGTAATATTGACTATAATCACATGTTGGAGTTGAAACATACATCCTCCATTCAAATAATTTCTGGTAGTTTTCACATGCAAGAAAAGAATAGAGGCAGAAGCATGTTGAAAGGATACCAGTATCATAATAAAGTTACAAACTATATCATGTCCTTCCAACTGATAGCGCTCAACAATAGTGAAAACATTTGAAATAACCACAAATATTTTCCAGAGAGCCTTGCATCTACACTTGCATAAAAACTAGTACCTTTCAGAGCAACAGGCATGTTGTAGACTGCTTAGAGGAGGATAAGTTCATTTCAGTGTCTGTCTTTAAGAAAACAGTTTATGGGTACTAAATAAATATTAGGTTTATTTGAGGTAAGATTTTTGAGAATCTGTTTAGGGATCCTTAAGTCTGTACTGATAGGAGGTCATGAACAGTCAGATCTTCTAACCCACTTCTTGACATGTGTTTCCTTTAGGAATAAGTGTGAAAGAGTGTGGAATTGTGTAGAGATATCAAAAGCTAAACTTTAGTAGAGAATCATTTAAATCTGCACAAAGTCTCACATTTGTATAATGTAGAAAATTTGTAAAAATTCAAATCTGCATAAGGCATCAATTCTGAGGCAAGCATTACTAAATGTTGGCATTTTAATATAGATAGTGGATAATTTTGACAGTAAGCTAATACTAAGGCATCATTTTCTAAATGCAGGAAATATTCTAAGGCAGTGGTCTTCAACCTTGGCATAAAAAAGGTCATTTATGAATATCAAATGAAGATATTCTGTTCACATAGATTTCAAATTGATGGTATGGTAAGTGGGTATTGAAAAGTTCCCAATTACATCTATTGATAAATCAGACCAATGTTTTCTCTCTATGCAGAATCATATAAACTAAGTATTTATGATCGCCATAAACAGATAAGGAAACAGTCCAGATCTGTTTACATTGTTATTTGAAATTTTCTATTTGCATTTAACCTTATTGAATCATAGTGAAAGCTGAGCAGTATACCTGCATTGCCTCCAGGTAACTAAAGCATGTGCATTGAAGTATAAGGGTCAGAAAATTTGAAGTGAAAATTTTCTAATTAAGCACAAGAAGGTTAGGTCTCAAACCTGGATATTTGAACTTTTCCTGGTGCTGCAATGCTAGTCATAAATACAAGGATTTATACTCATAAAAATGATGGGAATTTTATTTACATTAGAGTATACAAAAGAAAAGACAAAAAAGATGTTTATACATCAGATATTTTGCCAGAATGAATTGGTGTGATACAATATATAACTAAATGATTTAAAAATATATATTTTAGGCTTTAGTATTTCTAAATCATCGATGGGGCAATGTGCACTAATGTCAAATTAGTGATCATTGCTTATCTGTGATTAAGTACATTAAACAAGTACATATCTATCCAAATTTCAATTGCAAGAAAGACAATGACATGTGCTATGCATTATATAATTTTTAAAAGAGAAACAATATGGTGATAACTTGAATTCACCATGGAGTGAGATCATGTGTTCACAGCATGATTAAACTGTTCCATGAAAAGGAAACATAACTATGTTTTCTGCCTATAAACCATCCAATTGTTTGATCTACAGAGAGCACAATTCTATTGATGATATGCTTTAAATTGTTGTCATAGTAATTTCTCTTATTATCTTAGAGTAAAATAATTTATATTTGACTGGTGTCAAATATCCGATTAGAATCACAAGCCAGGGCTTCTTGTTTTATTCTCTTCTTCCTCTAAAAATAGTAGGATGAATTTTTCAATAATCATGGATTTGTTATTACTAGGAGTCTTGGGCTTATTACATAATTCATTTGAGTGTTTTAACAGTAAATGTGGACACTAATTTATGACTATCACAAAAGCCAACAATGCAAGAATTTTAAGAGAATGGATTCATAAATAACTTTTTAAGGATGTAAAAATTTCCAATTCCTTTTTGCTCCAATATTGATAATTTTGCTTAATCTTTCCTTTTCTGAAAACTTCTCCAAGAACATTATCACACATCTTCTCATCACTGAAAGGGAATTTCTACACAGTCAGATATATTACTAACAAAAAATAAATAATTTGACCACCATGACTCAACCGTGTTATTAAGCAACAATGGGCTAACTCAGTAACTATGCTCTTCATAGAACGTACATGAGTAGCCATGACAACTTCTGTAATGTGTCACCAAAGGACTGTAACAACCTCAGAAA